AGACAAAAAAATCCATCATGACTAAGGCCGAGAGGCTGGATGGTCGCTTGTTGTGCTCTAGGATAAAAAACCCCTAAACGACTAAGGCCGAGAGGTTGGGTGGTCGCTTGTTGGGAGGCATTTATGACCACTAAAATTCATTAATAGATTACGTTTAGTCAGGTGGATGAATGGCGTGGCTTACTAAATTGATGGGAATAACATCAGCAAACGGCGACAATGCAAGCTTTGTAACGAAAACATCAAACAAAATATAGCATCGACAGGAAAAATAGAGAGAAATAGGGAAAATACAGCGGCATTCATTTAACAAATACAGCGACATTCATTTAACAAATACAGAGTATAACGTTCAACAGAAATTAAGTTACAAGCTCATGAGTTAACGTTCGGGTCAGCATCGGCACCAGGGCCAGTCGAGACTTGCTCATGTGACGGCTCGAGCTGTTGCCCCGCAAGTTCAGTCGGTTGGCTTGAGCCGGAGGTCGAGCCAACCCCATCAGTAGATTGAGTCTGACGAGCAGGGGGAGGAATGTAGCCATCGGGGAGCTTGAAGGTACGTCTCAACAGGTCATCCTGATCCACGACGAGCTCGAGCAGACCGGACCACCAATCATGGTCGTCGGGCAAATCGAGGGCGCTTTTATAGCCGATAGGAGCCTTTGGCATAGCATCCCATATGGCCTCCATGTTAAACTCCTCAAACCCGTCCTCAGCAACTTGGACCCCCGCTTGCTGCATTATGGCCCCAAAACAATGAGTGCCATAGTCCTGCACATCTTTTAAGTACTGTGGCGACTGCTTGAAAGCAGAAACCACTTGTTCGCGGTAGGCTTGCAGGAGGTGTCGACCAGCGGTGGTGTGGAAGACCATCAGCCGAGCCCGAATGGCAGCCTCGTCGATTAGCGACTTAGCCCTCTGCTCGAAGGCGACGTTTTCACGTGCCCGAGCCGACTTCTCTTCCTCGAGTGCCACCTCGAGAGCCTTTTTGGAAGCCAGGAGGGCCTCCTTCTCGGCTCGCTCGGCCTCAAGGGCTTCCTCGAAGGACTTCAAGGCCCCCTCGAGCGTTTCTTTCTCATCAGAGAGGACCTTATTACGGGCAGCCGACTCCTTTAACCTCTCGTGGAGATCGTTTGCCTTGGCAATAGTTTCCTGCAGTTGAGTGCCAAAACGAAGATTACTCCGCTCGAGGGCCGAGATAGATCGACCCGGACTTGCCAACGTTTGCTCGATCAATGGCGCGAGCTCAACCATTCCCTACAAAGGTGCGTAGAAGAAAGTGTTAAGAACACTAACGAAGGAAGGAAGATGAAATAAGACAGATAGGTGTTAAGTCGCAGAAGACCACCTGAGCCAGCCAGCGAGCGAGCCGATGGCCCCGATCTTGCAGGGTATGACCATCGTTATAGCAGTCGGTAGGATGGTCGACGGGAGGAAGAACGTCTCGGAGAAAGTGCGAGAATCTTGCGCCGTCAAAGGTGGTAATCGACAGCGCAGTTTCCTCAACGCGACGGCGCTTGCCGACATCCTCGGCCCCTGCAGCAAGGGGACGCTTAAGTGGATTCTCTCTGAGCTGAGTCTGCTCAGGAGAAGCAGGAACGTGTATGATTGGAGTAGGCTGGTTGTGTGAAGGAGAACGCGCCGGAGAAGGTTCGCGCGGAGGAGAGGAGGGCCTCTGATGCTGGTCGGATGGCTCGGTTGGCTGGTTAGCGGGAGGCTGGACCGAAGATGGTTGCTCGGCAGTTACATTAGGAGGAGGTGAGGTCGAGCGCATAGGTTGTGAGGCGGTTGAGTCAGCAGGCTTGGAACTCGACCCCTCAACAACGGTTTTCTTCTTCAGGGGAGCTCTCCTTCTAGGCACAGAAATAGTGGGCATCTCTGCAAAAAACGTACGCGCAGGTCAAAACCGCAATGAATACATAATATATGTGACAAATATGGTGATGCTCAAGCTTATTTAGCAAAAATACATACCTGGGTCGCCCTCGATCCGGATAAGATCAAAAGTCTTTTGACTAGGAAGAGGACATGATTTGTGGGTAAGCAGCCCACAAAAATGCAGGAGGTTCTCATCCTCAAGAAGGGTCTTCGAAGCAACGGGCTTGCTATTCCATACTGCAATCCGTTGGTCGAAGAGTGCGTTGGTGGAAGGTACGGAGTATTCCCGAGGGAGTTCCTTGAGCCAAGGAGATGGGGCCCAAGGGAAAGCAGGTTTGGGCTCGACAAAAGCGAATTTGTCTTTCCATCTGGGGACGTTTGAAGGGGTGTCCGAAATGAAATGGACATCGTTGCGGCTCTTGAGGTAGATCCCCTGAGCATGTTTTGAGGGAATATAGCAGTAATGGAAAAAATCCAGGTCAAGTCGACCTAGACGAACGCGGCAAAGGATGATGAAGACGGTAATAAATCGGATGGCGTTAGGCGGAAGTTGGTTCAAGGGTAGGTCGAACCACTTGCAGAGATCGATCAAATCCTGGCTTAAGGGAAAGCGGATGCCAAGTTTAAATTGAATTTCAAAGAAAGTATAACAGTTTTGGGGAGGGTGGTCATAGGTGTCTCGAGAGCTCGGGGACAAAAAAGCCCAATTGGTAGGATAGCCAACTTCTTCGCCATCCAACCAGCCAGCTATGAGGGAACGAGAGGAAGAAGAAGCCTTTTTTGAAGAGGTGGACACCTTAGCCGACTTACCCTTCTTAGGAGCAGCCTTAGGAGAAGTAGAGGTGGGGATAGACGAAGAGGCAGCCCGAGCAAAAATGGAATGGCGAGAAAGAGGAATATTGTCTTCGTCTTTCTCAGCAGCGGCTTCGGCGGCATCGAGGGCCTCTTCAACGGCATCAGAGGCCCCAAACGTCGGTCGACGAGGATTCAGGGGGATGTGATCGAGGGTATCCCCATCCGATTCATCAATCGGACGAGTAGATCGACGAGGAGGAGAAGGTGTGGTGTAATCAGAAGGGCGTAGAACACTGAGGGGAACGGGATTGTAGATTTCCTCAACGGAGCGAGAAGGCGAGTGAGGAATAGGCTGGCGAACAGGAAAAGACGATGCGCTTGTCTCATCCTCACTGAACTGATGGCTCGGTGCGTTAGAATCAGCGGAATCTGAAAAGTAGAGCAAAAATTGAGGGGAAGAGAAGAGGAATTAGGGTTTTGAAAAGTAAGAAAGGTGGGTTTTTTTCCGCAAGCGAAGCGAGAAGAATTGGGGAAAAGGGAGAAGCAACGGGAAAATCGAAAAATTGACAAAATAAACACATGTAAATATAAAATCGGAGCACAGGAGACTTACTCATGGTCGCGGTGGAGAAGTGGCTGCTGGAAATTGCTTGAACAGGCGTTGAGAGCTGGCAAGAACAGTTTGCAGAGAGAAAGTGTGGAGCGCAAAGAAGGTTCAAAATCGCAAAGATGAGAAAAGCAGCAAAAATGACTAAGTATTGTATTTATAGGAGTACAGATGAATAAGGGGAAGAGTTGGGAAAATATGACCGTTAGATAAAAGAAGATCCAACGGCGGAAACAATTAAAGAGGCGTAGATATCGAAGCGACACAAATAGCGAGAAGACGTGATGATTAAAAGTATAGAGAAGGAAGACATGTGGCAGGCGGAAATCACGCTAGTAATAAAAAGAAATAAAAAACAATAAAAAGCAATCATAGCGTGCGATAAAAAAGACCACGTGGTCGAGGAAAGGTAGCGACATCCACAAAGTGATCGAGAGGAAAGGCCAGATAGCGACATCAACAAAGTGATCGAGAGGAAAGTCCAGGGGGCGACATCAATGAAAAAGTGATCGAGGGAGGAGACCAGAGGGTGACACCAACAAGATGATCGAAAAAATAAGTAGAACGAAGAAGACAACTCGAATCCACGTTGGTCAGGCTAGATGATATGGGATATTATACGACTAAAGAGCAGACCGGTCCATCATGTCGGTCAGGCAGGCATAGGATGGAGAAAACCACGTTGGTTGAAGAATGATCGACCGTAACGGAACAGATCGAGCAGAATAGCAGAGCTGGTCGAGGATCGATTTAGTAAGGGGGAGCTCGATCAGATCGAGCATGCAGCAGGAAGGAAGCAGTCGAGAGTGTGACCTGAACGCGAGTGGGCGCGTGAGTGATGTCAGGAGATCCCAACGGTTTGCGCAAGGGAATAATTCCCCTCAGCTCAGAGGGGGGCACGTGGCGAAAACGTATTGGTGCAGAGTGATAGTGGCAACAACCACCTCTGACACCCCTGACATTTCTGACAACACGTACACTGTGTGTGTACGGACGGGCAGCGAGGGCAGGACAGCTCACAACATCCGGGCAGCTCTGAGGGCAGGTATCTCACTCCTATATATATGGGAGTGGGTCTTTTCTTAAGATTTACGATTTATCCATTCTTTACTTTGGAAAATTGAACAAACATATACTGACTTAAGCATCGGAGGCTCTTCACCGGAAAACCCCTCCGGTGTGAGAGTTTTGTGCAGGGACGCGGCGTTCTATCGGCGAGGAAGAAGGAAGCAAACCGATTTCAAGCCGATCGGAGTGTTTTGCGTTACCATATTTATTGTTCGATTTATTTTTATCGCGCGTTAATACCGAAGATTGGGCCCGAGAATATTTGTTTGAACCGAAATCGAGCCCGTGAGCCGAGTTATTTTCTCGAAACCTGCACGCGAACCGGCCCCGACCCAGTTTCCCTCTTGTGTGTGTGTGCGTGTGATTTATTTTCTTGCTCGCCAAGACTAGTAAACCTAGTCTAGGTTATCTGTTCAAACACACGCCGCTCACTCTGAATCTCTTTTCTCTCACCTAAATCAATCGCCCACAGACAAAACTTCTCATGCCCAAAAATCTCATCGTCTTTCCTCTCGCACAGATCGCCATCATCCTCTCCTTTCCTCTGCAAAAATCCCATCGACGCCACCACCTCCCTCTCCCTCTTTTTCCGCACTTCCAATCGCCATACCCAGCCTCCGGCGACCCTCTTTCTTCATCTGCGAGGCGTCACCGCGACCTGCAACCGGCGCGCCTCCTTCCTCCGCGAGGCGTCACCTTTCCGTGAGCAGACCTGGCGAATTCCTTCCGGCGACCCACCATCGTGCGCAGGCCTCGCTCCGCCACGTCGCTTTCTACCACCAACGAACCCCAACCACGTGCGACTAGACCAATTAACCTCTGTTGGCATGAGGAGTCCGCCGACTCCCGCCCCGTCACGCCATTCAGCCGCCGTTTGAAGATTGCTCGGTCTAAGGGCCTTTTTCTGGTGAATTGAGCACCATCCGAGCGTCGACTTTTCGTGGTCCGAGGTGCCTTTGTTCCGAGCGGCGACCGGGAGTTTGAGCAGTGGCAGTAGGGCCACTTTCGAGGATGTGTGAGTGTCCGAGCTGCAGCGAGCTGGGCCAATTTTTTCCAAAAAAGAGAGCCGATATTTTGTAGCCGAGACCTGAACCTTTTCTCGATTTTTATTTCTGACGAGAGGTATTAATGGCTGAAACATATGCCTTTTGTCTTGATCGAGTTAGTGGTGTTTTTAATGTGCCTAGTTTTAGTTTTTATGTGCAAGTTAAAGCCTGCTTTACTGTGAATTGCTGAACCTCTGATGTTAGTTTTACGGGCTGATATGATGTGCAATTTTATGCCGGTATCTGTTGAGGTGATTCATGAGTTTAAGGGAGCTGCTATGAGCCTTTATGAGAAGTCTTATGGGCCGAAAGTATGTAGTTGTTGTTTTGGTGCCTTTTTATTTTATGTGTTTTTGTTATAACTTGGGTGCTGAGTTAATGTGCTATTTTGTAAGCTGTAATGTGATATATGCTGAGCCAGTTGATGAGTATGTTGCTGAAGTGAAGTTTTCTTTTAACCATTTTATATCTCAATTTAAAAAAAAAAAAATGGCAAGTGTTTGAGAAAGAAATAAGATGTGTTGTGTGTATGAATATTTTTCCTGTTATGTGTTGACAATGGATTTAAAGTTCGGTTGTTGTGGTTTATAGAATTAAGGTTAAGCTGAGTGGATGATAATTTATCTATGCTGTAGGAAGATAATTTTTTTAGAGTAATGTATCTCCATTATTCATAGCCTTCATTTTGGTGTTAAAACCTTAATTTCATTTTTTTTTATGATGTGAAAATGGGAAAGGTATATGTTCTGTTATTTGATTTACTTTGAGCCTGGGCTTTATGTTTAGCATTGCTGGTATGTATGCATTTGGGAGTGTTTTTATGCTTAGTTAAGGCATTATGACTTTATTTTCTTAAACAAGAGATAAGAGAAGGCTATGCCATGTGTTTTGAATGCTTTGATTGAATGCTTATGTGTTGTACCTTATGTGTATTATGAGTTCGACTTATTGTTTTTGAGCTTTGATTGATTATATTTGGTGTTGAGCCTTTTGATGCGGTCCAGTAGTTGAAGTGTGCTTTACTTGCTTATGTGGCCTAGTCAACCTCAACCAAAACCCTTAATAATAATTAAATTCCTCATTTTTAGGTTTGAGGAGTCGAGCCCTTGACCTACGTTCTTCAGCTTTTTTAATGCTTTTTGCTACTTCGGTAACCAGGTGGGTACATTTATGATGTATTCTATATTTATCGCACTTAATATTTCGTATAAATGCTTTGTTTTCAAAATGATGTATGCGTGAGAACCCTAGTCTAAGTGTTCCGTATGTTAGTGCCTTTGAGGAATGCATAAACAGTGAGAGGTCATCGGCCCGTAGATTCAGAGAGGTGACGCCCAGGTCCGTATGATATTCGTGAATGGGAAAAACATCTCTACTGTCTCCTGGAAAGGATCCCAGGCCCGTAGCCATTCGGTGATGGGAAGGTTTCTAGTTACTTCCTTGCCGTGTGTGATCGGAAGGTTGTGGTATGTACATAGGAGGTTTGCGATAGGGCCAAGTAGGGAGTTAGACTGTTGGATTCTATGCATACTGAATACTATGGTTTGATGGGTGAAAATGTTATGCGAGATAAACTGTGCGATAATGATGAGCTTGTTGGTTATGCTCACCCCCATTATTTTTCTTTGTTGTGTCTTCTCTTTCTTTGCTTTAGGTTGAGACGAGCTGAAGGCGGTGGCGTAAAGACGAGCGAGATGGTGGTCATTTGCTGGATGTGTCTTTTGCTTCCGCTTGATTTTATTTATGTTAAACTACTTGCTTTTATTTTAGATTGTTAATGCTTCCGTCGATTTGGATTATTTATTTCTTCTCTTTCGAACTATGTTGAATTTTGTTTGAACCTTGATTTTATGCTAGTCGTTTGGGAATGATTTTAAAATTTATGATTTATGAGAGTGTCATTTTGATAGCTCGAGCATGTGTAGGTTCATTGGATTGATTGATTGAGTGTGTTTATTTGTTGTGTTTAATAAATAGCACCCGTTTCTCGATAAATGTTTTAACATGGTTTTTTTTTTTTAAAAAAAAATAACTCTGATTTTTATTAAATAAATTCGGTAAATTCTTTAAAATAAAACGGGGCGTTACAATAACAGTGGAGGAGGAGAACATGGTGGAAGAAGCGGTTCCTAAGAAAGCAAAGAGCAGTCCAAAGAAGGTGGAGAAGGCCAGCCTCAATTGGCCCCAAGGTGAACAATGAGAGCTCTGGTGTGGAATTGTAGAGACCTAGGTGGGGCCTCTACAATTCCCCAGCTCAAGGAGTCCCTTAGACTCCATCACCCACATTTTATTTTCCTGTCAGAAACTAAAAACACTAACAAGTTTACTATGACCGTTTGCAAAAATTTGGGATTTGCTGATAGAAATTTAATGGTGGCTCCAAGAGGGCTAAGTGGAGGATTGCTGCTAACATGGGTTCCTGAGGTTGAGATCAGGCAGTTGTTCTATGATGGCTACAGCATTGAGGTTGAATTCAGAACTAATAGTAATGACAACTTTAGATGGGTAGTCTTTGTCTATTTAAGCCCAGATAGAGGGACTAGAGAAACTCAATGGAGTGAACTAGAGCTGAAGAAGGATAAATGGGGAGACAGATGGTGTATGATTGGTGATTGGAATGATGTTACTAAAATGGAGGATAAAAGAGGAGGCAGACAGAGAACTCAAGCCAGCATGAGGGGATTCCAAAATTTCATTGCTGATATGGGGATGGAAGAGGTGATCAGAAAGGGATACCACTATACATGGCGCAATAACAGAGAGAATGAGGGGTTTGTTGAGGAGGCACTAGATAAAGCTTATGTTTCTTTGGGTTGGAGTGCTGAGTTCCCCATGACTCAAACTACTGCTCTGTTCAAGAGCTCATCAGACCATCATATGTTAATATTAGAGGAAGCTCCTGACAGCCAGCAGAAGAAGGAAAGATTTCAGCTAGACAAAAGGTGGCTGAGCAGAGAAGGGGTGGGGTGAGATAATCCAATCAGCTTGGGAAGGGCAGTAAGGAGGCACACCAATGTACAGCCTCAAAGAGAAGATAAAGAAACCAGGGTAGCCTTGATTAATTGGAGCCAAGAGTTCAGAACCAGTGAAAGAATGCATAGACAGGGGTTATCATTGAAATTGCAAGAGATGAGAGAGGAAGGAGAGCAGAGAAATTGGGAAGAATGGGAGATGATTCAAAAGGAGATGGATAAGGCTAATAGAAGTGAAGAACTGTACTGGCAACAAAAAGCAAGAGTGGAATGGTTAAAAGAGGGGGACCACAACACCCACTTTTTCCATGCTTGGGTGACACAGAGAAGGAGGACTAACGTTATATCTAGGCTGGTGACTGAACAAAACAGAGTTTGTGAGACCAAGGAAGCAATTGAAAAGCATGTGGAAGACTTCTACTCTAGACTTTTTACATCAGAAGGATCAGAGGGGGGTGAAAGGGTCCTGAATTGTGTCCAGTCTTCCATTACTGAGGAGGATAATGAGGAGCTGCTTGCACCTGTTACTGAAGCATGTGAAATCAAACAAGCTCTTTTCTCTATGAATCCCAGGAAATCTCCTGGTACTGATGGGATGCCGGCCTTATTCTTCCAACATTTCTGGCCCTTGATTAGAGAGGACTTGTGTGCTGCCATCTCAAGCTTTTTTCAATCAGGTCAGCTACTTCCCTACTTGAACCATACATTAATTACACTCATCCCTAAATGTGCCGTGCCTGAGAATTTGAGCCAATTTAGACCAATAAGTTTGTGTGCTGTGGTTTATAAAATAATCTCAAAAATCCTGGCTGGGAGATTAAGGAACTGTGTGCATAAATGTGTTAATGAAGTTCAATCAGCCTTCCTGCCAGGAAGACTGTTAACTGACAATGTGGTTATTGCAAATGAAGGGCTTCATTTTCTAAACCGTCACAGAACAGGGAATCATAGCTTTATGGCAGTGAAATTAGACATGATGAAGGCTTATGACCGGATTGAGTGGTCTTGTATCAGACTTACCATGCTTAAGATGGGGTTTGACCCTAAATTTGTGAAACGTATCATGGCGTGCGTGTCAACTTTGTCTTTTTCTTTTATCATTAACGGCTGTACTTCATGATATATTAATGCTCAGAGAGGTCTCAGGCAAGAAGACCCATTGTCTCCATACTTGTTCATTTTAGTTGCTGAAGTCCTTTCTTCTATGATTACAAATGAAGTGGAAAGAGGGGTTTTCAGGGGAGTATCAGTGGCAAGAGGTGCACCTGTGTTGACTCACTTATTCTTTGCAGATGATTCATTGGTCTTTTGCAAAGCTACTAAATATCAGGCTCATGTCTTACTATCTGTTCTCTCAAGATACCAAAGGTTCTCTGGACAAAAAGTAAATACAGCCAAATCTTCCATATTCTTTAGCAGGAACACAAGTGATGTTGCCCAGAGGGAAGTGTGCAGTGTATTCCCTGGCATTCAAATTCAGAGGTCAACCAGGTATCTGGGAATGCCACTTGGCATTGGCAGGACTAAGAAGAAAGTGTTTGGCTTTGTGACAGAGGCTGTGAGAAAAAGGGTTGTCAGTTAGAAGAACAAATATCTATCCTCTGCAGGGAAAGAAGTCTTAATTAAAGCTGTGCTCAATACCCTACCCTTGTTTGTCATGTCATGCTACAGATTGCCTGCTAGCATTTGTAAGGAAGTGATTAGCATTTTTGCCAATTTTTGGTGGAGTAGTGGAGGGGAGCAGAATAAAGGGGTGCACTGGAAGAGATGGGAACTCCTTACACTGGCCAAAGATAAGGGTGGACTGGGATTCAAGGAAGTGGGGATGTTCAATGATGCAATGCTAGTCAAGCAGCTATGGAGAGTAGTCACTCAACCTCAACTGCTCATGAGTAAAATCATCAAAATGCAGGTACTTCCCTAAATCATCTATATTTGAAGTTAAGTTGAATCAAAATGCCTCTTGGATGTGGAGATCATGGTGGAAAGTGAGGTGGCTGTTGAGGGAGGGGTTGCAGGTGGAAATTAAAGATGGAGCCTCTCTCAAGCTTAGTGACTATAATTGGGTACCAGGCATAAGAGGCAGGAGAGTCCACTTGAAGGAAGGTGTTGCAGGGGAAGATATATGTGTCCAGGAACTGCTTGATGGCAACAGAAACAGATGGAATACCCAAAGGGTGAGAGAATTGGTTGTACAGGAGGATTGTGAAGCCATACTACAAATTCAGGGGCTTGATTTGATGGTGAGAGATAAGTGGAGATGGGAGTTAGGTGTGCAGGGGAAGTTCTCAATATCATCTTCATATGCTTTTCTTCATCAAAAGAAGCTACTTGCAATGGATCTGCCTGAGGGAAGTAGCACTGGCAGGAGAAATCAATAGATTAGACAGAGAAGCTGGGGTTTGCAGGTGAAAAGCAAACTAAAACATTTCTTATGGAAGTGTGTTAGTGGAGCCTTACCTGTGAGTGTTAACCTAAGAAGGAGAGGGATTGAGCTTGATGTGATTTGCAGATGCTGTGGGGAAGCAGAGGAAACAGTTGAACATGTTCTACGGCAATGTAAGAGAGCTAAAAAGGTGTGGCAGCAAGCTCATGTTATATGGGATGGATTAGCAGCTAAGGAGAGAAGATTTGAGGATTGGTGGGGATCAGTGTGCTCAATCAAGAATGCTGCTGTGGAGGAAGATAGAATAGAACTTACAATTTACATCCTATGGTGGCTGTGGAAATCGAGGAATTTGTGGGTGTTTGAAGGAGAATGGAGGCCAGTTCCTCACATTGTGAATGGGGCATGGACTGAGTGGCAAGAATCACAAGCAATGAAGAGGTGTAGCAGATTCAGAGTGACATAGATAGGTCTGCCTTGCAGTTCAGTGTTTTTGTTTACTCTGGTTTGTTGCATTCATGTTTGTAATCTTAATCTGATGTTTTGATTCTTAGCTTTGACAGTGTATCCCATTGAAGGGTTCAGAAGCATGTTTCTGCCTTTGATGGTGATTAGTTATGATAGATTGTTAGTTTGTTTGTTGCCTACCTAGTAGGGTAGTGCTCTCTGGCTTAGCCTTCAACTTTCTTTATTATTGTCTTGGAACTTTGTATGTTTGATGTTGTTGTTTGAATGGAGATGGTCTATCGTTGGAAAAAAAAATATATATATATATATGTACCTTAACTCCTAATCAACATTTTATCTAAGATTGAGCTTGAACATTATTATATTTTTTAATAAGTGGCTTTCTTTTATTATCACTTTCAAACATAATCACATTATTAAACAATATCTATCTATCTATATATGTACCTTAACTCCTGATCAACATTTTATCTAGATTGGGCTTGAACATTATTATATTTTTTAATAAGTGGCTTTCTCCTATTATCACTTTCAAACATAATCACATTATTAAACAATATCCATCTATCTATATATGTACCTTAACTCCTAATCAACATTTTATCTAAGATTGAGCTTGAACATTATTATATTTTTTAATAAGTGGCTTTCTTTTATTATCACTTTCAAACATAATCACATTATTAAACAATATCCATCTATCTATCTATCTATCTACCTTAACTCCTAATCAACATTTTATCTAAGATTGAGCTTGAACATTGTTATATTTTTTAATAAGTGGTTTTCTTCTATTATCACTTTCAAACATAATCACATTATTAAACAATATCCATCTATCTATATATGTACCTTAATAAAAATGCATTAAAAACAATTATTTATTGTCATTACGTTATGCCTCTTAAAAACAATTATTTATATTTTACGTATATTTTTTTAACCATATATGCGAAATAAAATGCAATTTATTGTCATTACGTTATGCGAGTGATGTTCGATTCATCGCATTTTGTTCGTAGTTCTGGGAATTTGAAGAGTCTGCCTCATCTCCGAAACGTCCCATCAGTCTTCGGCGCATAATAACGGCGCGCGTATCAAGGAGGATAGTAATATCTTCTTGAGTATCTCTTCTTCACCAGATATGTGAAATCATTTATTGTCATTACGTTATGCGAATGAAGTGCGATTCATCGCATTTTGTTCACAGTTCTGCGAAGTTGAGGAGTCGCTCCGAAACGTCCCCTCAGTCTTCGGCAAATTAATAACGGCGCGCGTATCAAGGATGATAATAATATCTTCTTTAACCAGATATGCGAAATCATTTATTGTCATTACCTTATGCGAATGAAGTGCGATTCATCTCATTTTGTTCGCAGTTCTACGAATTTGAAGAGTCGCCTCTTCTCCGAAACGTCCAGTCTTTGGCGCATAATAACAGCACGCGTATCAAGGAGGATATGACTGTATATCTTCTTTAACCAGATATGCGAAATCATTTATTGTCATTACGTTATGCGAATGAAGTGCAGTTCTGCGAATTTGAAGAGTCGCTCCGAAACGTCCTCTCAGTCTTCGGTAAATTAATAACGACGCGCGTATCAAGGAGGATAGATATCTTCTTCAGTCTTCTATAATAAAGGTGCTGAGATGAGACAGTTGAATTAGGATACTTCAACTCTGAGAAAATGGTCGAGAAAATGGTCCTTGTCCTAATTCAATTGTCTCATCTCAGCTACCTTTGTTGTACGTCTGGTTGAGGAAAATCGAGTGTTGAAGAATAGAGGGAATGGTCCTGATCCTCCTCTTGTATTTGAGGGCTGGTTCTCTCTCACCGTCGTAGGCTCCCCAATCTACTATCCCCAGGAAGTCCATGCACTCTCACCGAGGATCCCATGTCTGCCCAGGCACATGGTCACTTTGCCAATGGAGCTTTGCAAAATCGTAGGCTGAACAATTTGAAAGCGACCATGTGTTTTGGAAGGCGTGGAATCTCCTGCGAACTGCTTGGTCTTACTGGGTATACTAGATTGAGGCGCCTACAACGGCAAAAGCTAGCACGCCTTCAAAGACAAAGGTGATTGACCATTCAATCTCTTTATGAAATCTTAGTAGGGAGACTTTAAAATGTTGATCGAAAGTGATAAATTCATTCTCCATTTCTCTCAACCTCTGTATACATTCCACTCATAGACAGATGCAGAACATGCTGCTCAACCCGATAAGATTGTCTGAAGTTCATGGACCGATCCCACGAACTTACCTAGCCTCCCCATTTCAAAACTTTCGGCACATGCATCCAATTGCTTTTGATCTTTCAAACTGCTGTTTCAACTCGCTGTCGTAGCTGCCTCTATCTATTAATTCGTTTGTTCTGATGTAAGGTTACTTGTAAACTATTTCAATCAATGTAATGTAGTTTAGTCGATGTAAAATTGCGACATACATACGTCGCATATTATTCGCCGAATTGGTGCATAATTAATTTTATAAAATTTAATTTTTGGAAATTTCCTTTGTTTGTGACTAAATTAATAATAAATTGAAGACTATTGTTATGCGAATCAACATGCATAAAAACCGCGCATAACACTCGTACTATAACGAATAATATATATTTTTTTAAATTTGTTTTCGTAAATTTTCAATTCTGCGACATGCGAAATTGCGACCTGCAGACGTCGCATATTAGTCCCCCAGTTGGTAAATAATTAATTTTAAAAAATTATTTTTGGAAAATTATTGGTCTGTGAATAAATTACCAATATGCGAATGAACATGCGATTATTACTCGAAACAATTCCGCATAAAAACCGCGCATAAGACTCGTACAATAGCGAATAACATATATTGTTTTATTTTTTTTTTAAGTTTGTTTTCAGTTGTTGTAAATTTTCTATTTCTGCGACATGCGAAATTGCGACATACAAACGTCGCATATTAGTCCCCCAGTTGGTAAATAATTAATTTTAAAAAATTTAATTTTTAGAAAGTTTTTGGTCTGTGACTAATTTACTAATGGGCGAATGAACATGCGATTATTACTCGAAACAATTCCGCATAAAAACTGCGCATAACACTCGTACAATAACGAATAACATATAATATTTTTTATTTTTTTTAAGTTTGTTTTTGTAAATTTTCTATTCTGCGACATGCGAAATTGCGACATACAAACGTCGCATATTAGTCCCCCAGTTGGTAAATAATTAATTTAAAAAAATTTAATTTTTGGAAAGTTTTTGGTCTGTGACTTAATTACTAATAGGCGAATGAACCTGCGATTATTACTCGAAACACTTCCGCATAAAAACCGCGCATAACACGCGTACTATAACGAATAACATATATAATTATTTTTTTATAAGTTAATTTTCATAAATTTTCTATTCTGCGACGTACAAAATTGCGATATCCAAACGTCGCATATTATTCGCAGAGTTGGTAAATAGTAATTTTTGGAAAATTCTTGTTCTTCGACTGAATTGAAAATAACTATTAGGTGAAAAAAAATCAGTCAACCAATGCGGTGCGTAATACTTCGAAATGTATTCGCATATTGATACATTCTGCGAGGTTTATATGGATATGCGATTCGTAAATATGCGAAAACAATACGCATAATCGATAGTTATCTAGCCTTATAGATTTGGATATGCGAATCTTAATTCGTAAATTATTTTCGTTACTCATAAATAATGCAGCGTTCGATTTGAATATGCGATAATTACGCGACAGTTTTTCACATATCCTAAATGATGCGGTTGATCTGGCCTGGATATGCGATTACAAAATATAATATAAATTACTTTTACTTATTTTTTTCATTACGTTGCGTTCGTACGTTATGCGAACACAATGCGATTTATCGCACTTTGTTCACAGTTCTGCGAAATTTCTTTCAATAATAATTTCCCTTCGAATATTGTCGCTGATTTTGCTGGGAACACAATGTGATTTATCGCACTTTGTTTTGTTTTGACATATGAATCATGATTAAACACATATACTTGACAAAAGAAAAAAAAAATATTTAATATTGCTGCATTCAGTCCAACAAAATAAGCCAAACAACTTTTGATTACATGTCCAGTGGATTCTAAGGGTCGAGATCGATGACTTCCACCTTTGGTGGTGGCTGATGAATCTGATCATCACCGTCATCGTCTATGTCTTCCCCCCAGATTGGGTCGTCAACCGAAGCACCAGGCCCGCCCTCCAAGTCATAGAGCCGTTGCGTTGCGCTCAGTAAAAACCTCGTAACACTCACGATACCAAAGGAATCCTTCCGAACGGAAAAATGCCTGAGCGTCGGTCTCTTGTGTAATCAATTTGAATCTTTTTAGGTTATTATGGCCGCGTCACAAAACTGCATGCTTGAACAAACTAAAATAAAAAATCAAATGAAATTTACCTCATCCCGCACATGCACCCAGTACATGTGGTTAACCTTTACCAAGCCTGAACCAGGACGCAAAAGGACGCCTGGAATCCTCAGAAA